TTGTTTTTTTTTTTTTTTTTTTTTTTTTTTTTTTTGCCACAGAACATGTGCACTTGCTGGAGAGGAGAGAGACAGAAAGAGTGAAAGTGAGAAGTCACCCTTCAGTGAGGAATGCTATGCTGCAATCCCTTCTCCTCCCTTTTTGTCTCAGGATTTGGGGCATCCATGCACATGCTCCTGGTGTGATTTTCAAGCCACCAGGTCTGGGATTCAAACCACCTTAATCACCATGCCACCTACTGACCCTCATTCAATATGCTTTTGACCCTTGGTCCTAAAACATCATGTTTATCCTTCAATATTTCCTACCCTCATATTTGATTCTCTGCACACTTGAAAAAAAAATAGCCTCTTACATAATGACTGCTAACTGGACTCTGCCTATAGTTTCTCCTCTACAGCTCGAATCTTACCATTTTACTTTCCTTCTTAAAATCCATCCAAAGTGCTTCATTGCACAGTCATGTCCAAACTATGTAATGAGGCATACAGGTACTCATGATCTGTCATACTTTTACCAAAACCTTATCTCACACAATGATCCATATATTTATATCCTATAGCTCTCAGCACACGTATGTATCACCTCATATCTTCATTATATTTATATCCTATAGTTCTCAGCACACGTATGTATCACCTCATATCTTTGCTCATGCTACGATCTCCTTCCAGTCTTGGTTCATGTGGCATCTCCTTCTAGAAACATTACTTACCCTTCTTTCTTTCCTTTGCCATGCATAGTTTTGGTGTGATCCTCTAGTTACTTTTTTTTTTTTTAGTTTTTTCTTAAGCGTACTTTCTAAAAGAATGCCATTTTTGGTTCTTTTTTATTTATTTATTTTTTATACATTCAATCACATTATTTGACTTACAAAGTAAGCATTTCAATATGTGAACATTTCTCCCCAGTCCAGTCGATCAAAATATCTTCAACGGATAACAACACACCTCTCTATCCCGTCAATGCTCTGCCTCCGTATCCTCCTCCAAATGCCCTTCCCTAGGTCCCACTCCTCCACACACACCACATCTGGCAGTCACACCCATCTTTTGTGTTTCTACATCCCTTACTCAATCAGTTTCAGTTATAGAGTGCAGACACCCGATAGATATTAAGTGGAGACATACAATGTCTCTCTTTCACAGCCTGGCTTGCTTCACTCAGCAGTAAATCTTCCATATTCTTCCACTTTCTGTCAAAAGTCAGGGTTTTGTTGGTTTTTATGGCTGAATAGTATTTCATAGCTCTCATTACTCTTTCAATTAGAGCCTGTGAGAACCTATGTATCTCTTTAATTACTAGATCTCCATTGCTATTGTTTAGATAGATGTAGACAAGCAACTAGGTAGCTGAACTGGCTCATATCCTTAATGGTATTGCAAGGTGTGAAGATAAATCTCTGGATATTGCCTGGGTCTCTCAAATACAGCACCTCTAGAAAATATTTTTCTTAGAAAATATTTTATTCCTGCTATTCTTCTATCACAGTGAATGGCATTATTTTCCATATAATCAAATATGCCAGAGATATGGAATTTTCTTTTTTCTTTTCTTTTTTTTTTTTTTTTTTTTTTGGGGGGGTTTTTGCTTTAGGGGGCTTTTGCTCCCCAAAGTGAGAAATCACCCCCCAGGGGGGGATGGCCACACCACAAACCCTTCTCCTCCATTTTCTCGGGATCTTGGACACACACGCACACGTGCCCTGCATGAGTTTAAGCCACCAGATCCAGGACACGAACCGAGGTCAACTACATGGGAGTCTAGTGACATAGCCATTACACTAACTGCTGGTCCCGCTCTGGAATTTTCTTAGATCTTCCATAACCTTCTTCCCTACATCCCTTGGCCCCATACTCACTACTTTTCCAAATTCTATTTAAATTGCTTCTTTAATTATTTTTCATGTTTGTCCCTTTTTTTAATTTTTAAATTTTATTTATTTATTTTGCCAGAGGGTGTATGTGCTCACTGGAGAGATGCACATGGAGAGAGAAAGTGTATCCCCTCCCCATAAGGAATGATCATGCTGCAATCCTTCCTCCTCCATTTCTCACCTTTTTTAGGAGTTTTGGGCACGGGGCACTCAGCATGTTTCTCAAACCTCTGAGTCTGGGACTTGAACTACACTGTTGGCTATGTGAAATCCAGCCCCCTTAACCACCTCCCACAGGCTGGCCATGTCTGTCTGGTTTCTCCTGTCCTATTTCTACTTTCTTCTCCCTAGTTCCCTTATACAAGGCTTTTATTTCTTTATTTCATTTTCTTAATAGTCTCTCGCTGGTCTTTCTTCCTCTGACCTGAATCCACATCAGTCTAACTTCCACTTGTTTCTAGAGTGACATTTCTATGTAGAAATCACTGACCATGAGAACACGCAGTTTTGGAGAAGACATACAAAATCCTCTAATAAAGTATAAAAATTATATCCTTTTAACTGTTCTAAAACAATCTAGCCATTGCCCACTATTTTCCTTTTCTAAATATTCCATAGTGTTCTCTAACTCTTTGACTTTCCACATACACTTGTCTATGTCAAAAGAACAAAACAAAACAAAACAAAAAAACCCACCCTACTCCTAGGACTTCTTACTTATCTTTATGTTTCAGCCCCTTAGATATCACCTCTCAAAAATCACTCTTATTTCTGCAGAATAGATTATTCTGTTATGTCTGCCTCTGCCTCTCCTTTTGACAGTAATTCCTATTATAGGGTCTGTTTTAGTAAAGGTATAACAGCTGTATGGATACATGGATAGATGGAAAAAATGAAGGAAGGTATATAATATAGGAAGAACAGATGAATTATAGATCAGGAACAGAAGATAGAGAAAGAAGAATATAAAAAGGATTTGAGTAAAAATAATCAGAAATGAGGAATTCAAATGTGTTACCAAAATCTTCAACAGAATTTGAATAATATATAAGGAAAACACACACTGTAGAGCTACAGGGACTAG